TGTTTGCCTGCTTGTCTGTTCATGACCGGAGGGGGGGGGATTGAGGGGGGAGCATCGCCTTTTCCAAAGTGGCAGCTCCGGCCAGGCCTCTCCTCTCTCTTCCCCCCCCCCCGCTGGACACTCTTTGGGGGGGGCCATCACCCCTACCACCCCCCTCCTGGGGTCCCTTTGCGCTCTGCCCTTCTAGGCTTATTACTGTTATGATCCTCATCCTCATCATCACCCCCACCCTCATCTTTGTGTCCAGGATCGGACCGGAGGCCTTTCCTCCCTCTGTCCTGAACCCTTGGCCTGGCTCCTTCCCCTCCTCACGAGCAGCCCTTGCTTCTCCGGCACACCTGCCTTTCCCCGACATGGCTGATGGGGGCCCCCTCCCCTTTCTGGGGGTGGGACACCCCTAAGAAAGAGGCACACTTTGGGGACCTGGGAAGGATGATGGGACCTTGTGCTTGACACGCCAAGGGAGGGCCAGGTTGAGGCAAAAAACCCTTCAGGGCTTGGGCAGGCCTAGAGCTTGGGCTCGGGGAACGCTGTGGGTGGGGGGGAGACGTTTTGCCCCTCCAGGCGGCTGCATTTTGAAGTACCCCGCATGGCTCCCCCCGGGGCAGATACTTCGGGTTCACAGGCGGCTTTAAAATGCACAAAGTAAAGCAAAGCCTGAAAGAAATATATCTGATGGGACATGTTGGAAAAACAGGCCGGGCAGGCATCAAAAACCGGAGTTTCCCTCCCCCTCCCCATCCTTAGAGTTAATCGGGTGTCTGGGTGTCTTTTGTTCCAAAAAGGGGGGGCTGAGAAACGCCACCCCTTACGTAACGCTTGCCTTTCCGTGTTTAATTAATTATGCAAAGTCAGCCAAGTTGGCAGGGCAGGAATGATCCAAAGGCAGTAAAGCAACGCTCAGGAGCACCGGGAAGGCAAGAGCCGACAGGGCCCTCCTCACGCTCCTGGGTCAAGGGGGTGGCCCTGCTCTCTCCCCCCCCCCTGGCCTTTTGCAGCCTCCCAGCCTGAGGTTTCACCCCCACCCCCACCCCATCCCATTCCAGCAGCCTCCCATGGCCCTGGGGCAGGGAAGCAGGGGGAGAGAGGCTCCTTCGCAGGTGGGCGGGCGTCCCCTGCGGCCTCAAGGCCTTGCAGGTGAATGAAAGGAAGGGAAG